AATAAATGCTTTGCTGTAAGTTGTAGCACTTTTCTCTGTTTTTAGTTAATTTGTCAGTAAAATAATATTCTGACATTGTAAACTTTTCATATAATAACAGTGAACTTAATACTATTTCAAAATTAACTTTTCCGTTTTTACTTACTAATTTATTAATTTTAAATCAAAAGAGTTCTGCTAACTTCTGTGTATTCATACTTAACAAAGGTTCAAAGTTCAAGTTCACTCATACTTAAACATAAAATATTCAAACTTAGGCAATAAAATGCAGGTCTTTATGAACATGAGCTGTGTGCACAGTCAAATAATACTTGCTCTGTCCATATGTTTCCAACTTCTGGCATCAAACAGTATCCAGCTAACCCTGTTCAATATGGGAGAAAGCAGGAGTGTGTTTCAGAGTATGCACCTAAGATAATTGAAGATGTTGGAACAGTTTCTACAACTATACAGAAAAGCTTGAATCGCAGTACAAACTCACTTCAAATGAAGTATCTTTAATAATGCACAATTATTTATGGGTTTGGGTATAGGGTGTTAAGAAAATCATCTGGAAAGAATAAAAATGAATGTTGTCATGTGAGTATTGCATGTCTAAACTCCTGTGTCCATAGAGGTATGTGCTCCCAGGTCTCAGTTGTCCTTTACTTTCAGGAAAATCAAAATGTTTCATGAAAGGTAGTTGCTATAATGCCCACAGAAACCTTGAAGACTTAGAGGGAAACACTGAGGAAGTAAAAGGAAAGGAAGAAGGATTTCTTAAAAACAAAACAAAATAGCCCTATGGATTGTGGGGTTCAGTGGTGATACAGGAGGGAAAGGTTTATTTGCCTGTGGAGAAGAATAGTAAGAAATGTGTTTCTGCAAGGACTAGTCACTACTAAGCAAGACCCCAGCTAGGGGAACAAGCAAATATAGAGAATTTTTTCACATCTCCGGCTTTTTCCTGCTAGGATGAAGTGAAATTTCTGCTATGTCTGCATTTAATTTATTCTGTAAGGCTGCAAGTTGATTAGAAAACTGCAAAGTGGCAACAAGGTGAGAACGGAAGAATGTGCCTCTCCAGTCTACCACCTGCCAAGCAGCGACTCTGCGCAGTCCTGTAGCCACCCAAGTCCTTGCATTTGAGACAGATTTCTTGAATTTCTTCCATGGAGCAGAATGTGAATATGGTTTCCGAACAGGAGATAATGCCTTGGTAATTGCTGCCAGAGAGAAGCGGGGCAGTATAGAGAGTTTGCAAGTGTTTGGGAGAAAGATGGAAGTTACAGAAGGTCCTCATTTTCTTGCTCAGATGTAGGAGATGGACACGGAGGGTTCAAATGCCAGGGGCAAGGAAAAGCCGGATCTGTTTTGCAGCACTGCACAGGGGAGGCAGCAGCGGGTTGCATGCTCTGCCGGCGCTGCCAACAGACTGTGTTTCATTCTTGGTTCGTGGAGGCGCTGCCATTACCACGGTAAACTCCACAGAGCCACACTGGTGTTTCCTTAGTAATAATGTTAAGTTCTTCAAGAAAACATTAGACAGCATTTTCTTAAACACTGCCTTGCTAAGAAGGGAAGATATTTTCACCTAAATCACATAAATAGCTGTAGTAGTAGTAATAGTTTTTATTCTACATCCCACTTAAATTGTAGGAGTCATTGCTGGACTTAGACCTGGCCTCACTGGGTCTGCCTTGTTCCAAATGTTGGGAGTTAAGGTGATCATCTAAAGGTTGGGTTTTCAGTAGGTCTAAAAGGTGGCTGATTGTCTTTTGGCATGCTTCATTTTTTATTTTTGCAGAATAATCCTAATCCTCAGGTTCCCATTTTAATTCAAATGACAAATAGCATTTCTAATATTCTTTGGCTGTCATGTGGCCTCCTGAGAATTGCAAAGTCAAGGAGTTGATATTTATTTGTACACAGAGCACACCAGTAGAGAATGTTGAAAGGCTAAAGCGAGCACTGTGGCCGCCAGTTATCTGGTAGATGTAGTACATGTGTTAGGTAGATGCCATGTTTCTCCTAATGGTCAGAGCACATTATAAATCCACATTCATATGTTTCCTCAGAAAGCTTCTTGATGTGTTTCCTTGGACAGTTGCAAATTAAGCTAACCCTTTTATAAAATATGCCAGCTCATCTCGGAGGAGGAGAAAGATAACAGATATGAACGGGGCGGTGTCGTCCAAAGTGCAGCCGAACGAGCTCTCCCTCCCTGAGCGTGGCGAGCAGGACGGAAGCGGCTCCCGCAGGAAGCAGGGCCCATGGGGGCTGAGACCACCTTTGGGAAGAGTGGTTCCAGCCCCATTATAAAGATAATTTATCCCATAATATGCACACAATAGTTTAATGATTTTTTGCATCATGATTAATTATCCTATTGAAATTTGGAATTACATTTATTTTTCCTGTAATGGCAGGAGAACCTCAGTCTGGTAACTACTCAAAACTGCAGTGGTTATGGTAACTGAAGCAATAGTATTTAGAAATCAGTGGTGAAAAAATACTTTTCCTAGAAAGGCTCTAGAATAAAGCAAACTATTTGCTGGTGACCTATTAAAAAAAAAAAAAAAAAAGGAAAGAAGAAAAACGGGCTCAGTACCCTGTGAGGCACTTTCACAGAACAAACTCATCAGTATCAAAGCATAAAATACTAAGAAAACTTTTACATATTTAACCCAATTTTTGTACTGTGCCAAGTACAAGATTCCCGTTTCATATTTATCCTAGGGTATGAAGTCTTATTTCACTATACATATAAGTGGTGTGAATTTCATGCATCAATTGGATGTACAGAGTCTCCTTCGCTTGCACTTTTTTGCCCTGATGTGATTGTATAGATTCTGAACAAGTCACCTCAGTATTTTTTAAGACTGATGATAATCACTTCTTACATTTTTTCCAAGATCAGAATGTTTATTTTACTAAATCAGAACTATACTTTGACCAGTGAAAGCTCATTAAATAGTCTTAGCTGAATCTGAAAACCAGGTGACAATTACCCATCCAAGTATAATATGGACTTTTAAAGCATTTGGAATTTAATTACAGCTGTTATCTGACTGTATAAAGTAAGGTAGGTAACAGTGCTAATGCAGTCCCTGTAAAAGGTTTGAAATTAGTAAGTAGCTGTTCACAGTAAATGAATTCCGTTTGTTTTTAATAAATCATTTGATACTTCAGACTCTTCAGATATTACAAGGGTATATGTCCTTGTTTCTCAAGAGTTGTGTATTACAAGCACTGTAGGAATAATTACTTCGAAATCAGTAAGTTTCTAATAGTTTTGTACCGGCAAATGAGGGTAATTGAGGGCAAAAATGAAAGAAGTAATAATTAATTTATGTTATTTTGACTGCTTAAAATTTGACCTTGTGACATTTCACAACATTTTAATGTGCATAGGGGAGAATCCCTCCCCCTGCCACCTTTTCATTGAAAACATGTTTGTATGTTATTTGTGTATTTTTGTGCTAAGTTATGTAACGTATTTTGGCTCTGATCTGTATGTCTGTGAATTTAGATATAAAGACAATTATAAAGGAAGAAAAATATGTTAATTTTCATGATATCTCTGGGTAATCTTAAAATAATTTTATATGCTCTTAAATGTTGTGCATGCTTGTAACTTCAAATCATTGGCGTATTGCATTTACTTTAATACCCTTCCTAAAACAGTTTCATGGATTTCTGCTCAGAGAGGTATACTGGCCTAGTTTTTCCTATATTTGGCATATACTTGTAACCTGGAAAAGGCTGTTCAGCCTTTTCTCTTATGTATCACAGTTCTAAATGTAGCCAGCAGCAGCTCCCTCACAACATGGTTTTGGTTGCTGCTAAGTTGTATTTGGGTTCACAGTATGATGTAAATTCATCCCAGCTTTCTTTTCCTTCTAATAAACCTCACCATCTGCCCTACCAAAGCACAGAGATATTTTGTTAGCTGTATCTGCAGATCATCCTTCCTCTAGGAAACATGATAACAGATGAAGGATGAACCTCGTTTTTTTTTTTTTGTAGCTTTTTTTTTCCTTTTTTTTTTTTTTTGTTTGCATTGACTTTAGGAGTTCTGTGTGTTTTCCTGTATACAACTTACCAGCCTTTCCTACTTGCTGTTTTTCTGCTGTTCGGTGTACAAGCTTCAGCTCATAGCCTTGATACTTCGTTGTGGTTCCACAGTAGCCAACTTGCAGTTCACTAGTGGTCACCTATACTGGTGAATGTCTAGCTTCAACATGTACCCAACTATATTTCAAAATAGAGTTTCGTGAAATACTGTCAGCAGTTTGTAGAAGCTGCTTTGAATAAAGAGCAGAGGCTGCTGGCCAGGTGGCCGCCAGGCGAGGACTCGTCAGAGCGCACTGGCGCCCGTTCTCCTCTGCATCCCTGTTGCGTTACTTTGTGTCCTCCCCCTTGGAGAGTTTTATATCCATTTGCTAGTGTTTTATTTTGTTTTGATTTCTCTCCAGCTATTATTACCATCTCAGTAATTCTCAGGGTTCTTCTTTTTTTATTATTTTTTTCAATTCTTCTCAGCAAAGCAGAGCCAGGATTGCACACCAATAGTGCCCAAAACTGGGCCCTGGTCACAGATATCTAAACTCAGAGGTACAGTGAGTTATAAGGATAAATATCAGGAAATTCTACACAGAAAATGATGTAAAATGTAACCTGATTATTAATGCATTTTTCGCAATAACATTTGATACTGACGTATTTAATCATTTTTCCCTTTTGATCCAACAGAACAGTGAAACTAAGACACCACAATGCAGACTGATAGTCTGATCAGCACACTAGGAGCATTTTAAACAAGGGCTGAAATTCAAGTTGTACAAAACAGTTAATTTTGCAGTTTAACAATTAATCATTTTATTTTACTTGCTTACCTTAAAATGTGGAGTGTAAAACAAGGAAAACAAGGACTGCTTATGTGTTTTATTCCAATATCGTATACTATATTTATTTCTATTTTATCTAAGTATCCTTTTCTACTGTGTTTCTTTTATTAGGAGATTCTTAGGAATGAAAGTTATAGAGAAGAAATGAAACAGAAAATCAAAGATGTAGCTGAAAAAGACAAGCTGCTTCAGGCCAAGGAATACAAGGCAGGACTTGTTGCAGAACCAGTTCGTACTCATGTGAAGGGCCACGCATCAGCCCCCTACTATGGAAAACAGGAGCCTTCTCAGGATCCCACGAGCACTGCAAATACTTTTCAGCCAGGTTCCTGGATGCCGCCAGGCAGCAGCAGCAGTCAAAATAAATAAAGAATTTATTAAACTGAAGTACAGGTATTGCCAATGGATAAATATTTTAAAGGAGAACACAATCACTGTATCCTGTGTGTGCAATAAAGTAATATTAAAGCTATGTTTATTTTTGCAGAATTGTTACAATAAGCTTAATTATCACAAACCACTTTTAAAATATGTTTGGATTTAGTGAAAGAGAGGATATATTACTAGGGACTAGTTTGGGTTTTTTTAAACAGTTGCTATTCTTCGATTGTTCATTACATCTCTTTAGTAAGAGGCTTTCTAGTTAAATGAACAAACAGCTTTTGTAAAATGATTTATTTTTTACTTTTTTGAGACACAGTTTAAATATAATGAATTTTAGTTAATTACTACACTTAAAATGATCTTAGATCTTGAAGACAAGCTTTTGGTCAATGTAGTTCCTTAGAACAGTGCCTGTATATCCAAGTTGTTAGCCTTCCTCTGGGAACTGCATGGTTTGGTCTAGCTGATCTCCCTAACCTTAAGTAACAGTGCAGTGACTATGCTTATCAGTAATTTTAGACATATAGTTATTAACTTAGGAATTAACTTAGGCTGACTTAGTCAACATTTTTGATAGCCAAGAGTAAGCAGAACATGCAACCAGTTAAGTACTCTAATAAGGTTTAGAAGCACTAACTACAGCTAAGGAGAAGTAGCAAGTGTGTTCTTCCTGGCAGAAGAGACTGCCAATTACACCCAAAAAGAACGGCAGTAGCTTGTTCTTTTCCTTTCTCTGCCACACAGAGTTGTGCCAAAGCCGCACAACTTTGGTAGGCAGCCACACCTACCAAAGCCACTAAAATCTCACTTGGCCTAAGGGTTGTTTTTTTATTATTATTTCTGAGCATATGCTGGGACTTTACTAGATTCTGTTATATATATATATATATGTTTGGCTGTAGTTTACATATACACAGATTATTTGCATAGTGATTATGCTTGAGATTTTGAAATCAAAATAAAGCGCACACATTTCTGAAAAAGTACCAAATTTATTTATGCAGTGTAGTCTGTTCCCTTCTGTGTTCTAATCCATGTAGATATCAAAAGTAACAACATACAAAGAAAAACATTGGAGATGAGATTTAATTCTGGAAATCATAAAATTTGTAAACATTACATTCTAACAATGCTTGCTTTCATCAACAAAATGGAAAGAGGGTCAAAATATAGTGTCTGCATAGGAATATTCCACGTGTTTCTTATTTCTGTTAAACTCCTCACTTTTAATCCTGCTAGGATCAATCCCCTCTCTAAATCTAGATCCACTTGAGCAGTGTATCTCTGACTTATCTGAAAAACAAACAAACAAAAACCCTACACAGTGAATGAAGCGATGCCGGGAAGCGTAACTGTGCTGCTGTTTAGACACATGCTGAGTCTAATAACCTAGACTGCCTCTTTAGTCTAATAATAAAAATTAAGCTCTCAAAAAGCTAATCATTTCTGTTTAGGATGAATTTCAATTAAGGTTAAATGACTTTGGAGTATTTATAACCCAAACCAAACCTGGATTTTTTCAGAATGCCAACTTATTGCAACCTTGAAAGCAGCAAACTTCCAAAGGCTGTGAGGCCACCACCACAAACCCTGAACTCAGAAGGTCCTATCTAGCTATCTACCCTTCTATGTAGAAGGTCCTATAGTAGCTAGGTTGGGAAGTAGGAAGAAATATCACCAATGTGTGTATCCTCAACAGATACTACCCTGCATCTACGAGCTATTGGCCACTCACACAAAGGACACTAAGCGAGGTGGGCCCTACGTCTGGCCCCATTTATGGCTGTTCTTTTAGATATAAAAAGTTTCTGAGAGCAGAAACAGGTTATAGCTGGAGTATTCAGGTGATAATCAGGGAAAGCCAAAAACAAACAAAAGTTTACTTTGTAGAACAGGCATAGCCTGGGACCTTTCAAGATGTCAGAAACAATAACCAGCCAACCCGCTTCCACCCACCACCTTCCTGGAGTTGGGCCTGAATCTAGAAAGACTCTGGTGATGGGGAGTAGTTCAAGAACCAGGAAAAAAGGAGTTGCGTTTCTTGGTGCAGACAAGCCTCACCATGAAATGAGCCACCCCAGCCTCGTGCAACTCAGCATTACTGAATCTGTGCGAATAGCTTTTCTTCATCTACGACCATGTGAGGTGTCCTTAAAGGAAATCACTAAGACACCATAACAAACTGCAAAGCTCCGAAGCTGTTTTCTCTGTACAGCTCTGCCACGGGCAGGCCAGAATTTGCCTTGCTGTAATCCAGTTTACCATGAGCTACAAACACCTTTAGGCACCACATGGGCTAACTGCTGTGGAAAGTTTGTGCAGCAGTGGAAATAGGGTGGCTTGTTTTGCTAGGGAGCAGAGATCACAGCATAAAAGAGTCAGTTTACATTTTCCCCATAATTTAATTGATGCATTTAGGATAATTATTAAATCACAGCTCAGTTACTGAAAAAATATCTACCTTTAACTTCACCCCCACGATCAGTTAAGATTTTTAAATTTAACATGCAAACCTAAAAAAGCAAGCTACATTAGAGCAGTAGTAGAAGAAATGGATGTATCAAGTGTCATTTTAACACAAATAGTTTCAGCAGAAATAATAGCTGAGGAGTTAAATTTCATACTTCAAGAAATCACAGGATCAAGTATAAAAAGAAGATTATAACAGAAAAGGTATTGTACAGTAGTGCTTCATTCAAAAAAACAGTTGGTTTTTCGCACAAGTAAGGCATTTTTGCCCTTTTAATCCTTCTTCGTTCGTTTGGCTTTTGCAATATTTTCCTGGCGCTTCTGTTTCTTCTTCTGCTCTCGCTCCCTGGCCTCAATCATTTTCGCGAGTTTCCACGACAGAGCGGCACTGATGATGAACAGCGGCGTCAGGGCCAAGATCACCGTCGTGAGGAAGCCATAGGGATCCTTTGCCGCCCACTCCACTATGTACTGCGCCCATGCCTTGATATCGAACATCTTCTCGGTTCTTTATTGGGGAAACTCTACAAAATAAGTAATTCGATTTCTGAGTATTCAGAAAAATAAGAGGGCCTGTACGCAGCAGACGCAATCCTGAGGTGAATCATCACTGCTCGCTGCTAAACGGAAGCTGCTTTTTCACTAGAAGGAAGTGTGACACGAGCGCCCCCTCCCCCCGGCCCGCGGCGACCGTTACGGGCGGCCGCGCG